GCTAGATTAGATAATCGTTATATTTATCTTCATATATTTATATTTGATTTGTAACCTGTAGTCGATATTAAATTTGTCAAATTTTCTCAATTACACAGCGGCCCATGAAGTAAACGCAATTTTACTTTCATTCCTCCCATCTCTCTCCCCCACCTCGTCTTTCCCTCCCTCTTATTCTAACATTAGATTGTCTATGGTGTGTGTATGTCACCACGAAATGTATCTTTATGCATTAGACATCCGACAACATTCATATTTCTCTCTGTTAAAGTTTGATCTCTCTCCTCCTCATACTTACACTCTCTCTAAATTCTGTTTTTATTTCCGGAGTTGTTTTTTCTGTTTTCTATTTGAATTTGTAGGTCTGATGAATTGGATCGTATTTACGATTCCAATGGAATAAATTATGACCATGGAATATTAGTGTTTAAGACTTTTATATATATATATATATATATATATATATATATATATATATATATATATATATATATGAACATTGAAGTCAACACTCAACGGCGACAGGCTTTATGGTAGATGCAATTTTCCTCGACTATTCATATATATGGGTCAGTGGTGCATATTCGCTTGTTTTATTATTTATTTGCTTGGGTTAATTTATTTTATTTTTCATTATCTTTTGTATTATTTATTCTTTTGATTGTTCAGATACAAATACCTATATATATATATATATATATATATATATATATATATATATATATATATATATATATATATTTTTGGTGCAAAAAACAGTGCTCAATGGTAAATAATAGAGCTATTAAATATATATTAATAAACAGATATAATCCCCAACACCGGTACTTCAAATCGGAGTTTTTATGTTCAATGCAATCATCAGATACTATATATATATATATATATATATATATATATATATATATATATATATATATATATATATGTATGTATGTACAATATGATAAAATACAAGAATGTGAAATGTTATTGGCTCTGACCTGACATCACGACGTCACTCACTTTCACACCGCTGTTACATAACTTTCCTGTGCTTTTATATAAATATTTCTATGAAAATAGTCCTGACGGAGTTTCCTCTTTGGTATCTTGAGTTTATGAATTTATGCACAATACCAGATTGGTAACATGCTCTCATCAATTTACAGTTGGATTGACTAGATGCAACCGTAATTTGTATGCAACGAGTTTCTATCGTACTTCTCCCCTGTGAAATTCTTTGACGTCAGATGCAGACATTCATATGAATGCTATTCTTCGCGAGAACCATCCCTCTTCGCCCTAAAGTGATGCAGTTTAAACAGCAACAACAACAACTAACATTGATATCACATGTAACTCGAAGAGAAAATAAGTACATAACCAACTTTCTCACTATTCCAAACAAAAAATTTAGAAAAGGAAACTACATCATTCCTGAAAAGAATAATAACAGATAGAGGACTAGAGTAACATATTTTCCAGAAAAAATTTTTATCCTTACTTAGAAAGATTTTATAAATTTCGACCCAAAGTAGCACTCGCTGCTTGGTCAATAAATGCCGAATATTTCCTTATAAGGAAACAAATAATATTATCATTGAAGATGAGGAGGAAATATTCTATATTTAATCCCAGCCCGCATGAAGAAAAGCTTAACTCGAGTAGCGCTGGTTGCTAGATTAATAGCAAATGTTTCCTTATAAGGAAACAGCTAATGTTACCATCACTATTTTCCTCTGACCAGATTTAAGTCAAGACATGGCATAGTTTTCACACACCTCCCAGGGTGATATTATCAAGGAGTCACGTCCTTAGCTAACTGATTTTCGTTAGATTCGAACACTGGTCTCATGGTTGAAACGCGAATCCTCTACGCATTCGACCATGAAATCAAAGCTTTAACACGTAATTTCATGGCCCAGATTTAATAAATAAATAAATAACAGACAGCATCTTTTCTACGTATATATTTTTATAATTAGATATATCTTCCCGATGACCATTTCCGCCACTGACGTTGGGCAAATAGTACCTACTTCTTCTTTAAAATATGCATCCTACCGAATACTTGTGTAGACCTGTCACGGGATAAAGACAACGCGAAAATTGGCAAAAACACAAGGGAAATAACAGGGGCCGCTTATTAGCTCTTATATAGAATCCTTAAAAGCGATAAAAAAAATGCTGCTTAACTGGCGACGAGGATAGATTCTTGCTTACGTGTTGTAATATTGATTTCTGCTTTTTTTCCTCGGCCGACGTACCCTGATCGATTTTAGGCTCAATGCCATCCGAGGGAGTTGCAGAAGGTAATGGGATTTGTGTTTCTCTGTTATATTCAGATCCTTTTTTCCCCCCTTTTTTTACAGCTTTTGGAGAATTGCACGATCAGAATGACTCGACGTTGCCGGGGACAAAACAGATTTTGCGAGTATCGCCCTAAATAGGAAATGTTTACTCGGATATTAAAATATTTCCGATGTGCAGGTAGTATAAGAAATATGAACGCGGAAAGTGGAATTGACGAGCCAAACTCAAATTCCGTACTAGGCTGTTCCGTTTCAGACTAATGCTTTTGATAATGGTATCGATTTTTTATCGACCCTCAATCTGCGGGTTAAATAAACGAGTAGACTGGGTTCGTGAGCCTTGTATGGCAACAAGTCAAAAAGACAGAAAAAGCGTCTAGAAAGCAATGGAAAACCATTTTTTCATTAAATCTGTGGAGGAATCACAACGATTCACAGATAATGCATGAAAATATGTGGAGGTTAATGACATTAAAACATATTAAACTTAATCTTGGATAAAATTCGAGAGCCAAATATGAAATTAAATTTTAATATAGTTATTTTCTAAATTGAATGCATACATATATATATATATATATATATATATATATATATATATATATATACAAATACATGAATTATTCACACAAAAACTAATGCAAAGGTTAATGATTTAAATGGCGAGACATCCATCATCGCAAACAATTCAAATAATATACAAAAACCTCCGTATCCGTTATGAATGAAATGATCCTTGTTTATATAAATTTCTGCCGTATTAGTTCTTATTTTACTACAAGCTTTCGTCTGTTCCTACAGACATCTTCAGGTATAGAATAGATGTTGTTCTTGTTTTTTCTCTTAGTAATAAGAGGACAACGAAAATATATGTATTGTTGTATCCGAAAATGCTATTGAAAATGAATATATATATATATATATATATATATATATATGTGTGTGTGTGTGTGTGTGTGTGTGTGTGTGTTGGGTGTGAGTGTGTATGTATGTGTGCGTGTGTGCGTATTTGTGAATAAAGACAAAAAGAAGACCTATCTTAACTGACGCGTTTTGTCCTCTGATGGACTTTATCAAGGCAAATGGAAGATTTTGACTTTGCAAGAAGTATTTATGAACAAAAGTAAAAATGTCGTTAGTTTTTCAGAATTTTAAATTTAAGAACGCCCATAAATATTCTTCAGGCTAACTGAAAGTCAAGGTAAATTATGGAGGATGCTAAGTGATATAATTCAATGGCTTACAAAGGAAAGTGTAAATATTGTTATTGTTATTGATATTTTTAATTTGCCATGATAAAGTTAATCAAAAAACGAAACGCATCAGCTAAGTTTTCCTTTTGTCTCCATTCATATTATTTTAGTTATATTTTCATTTGCATCTAAATTTTTACACACACAGACACACACACACATATATATATATGTGTGTGTGTGTGTGTGTGTATCTTAAAAATTTAGATAATTTACAACATCGTGACGTAATAATCATCTTACTGAAGAGAGGTTTATTTTAGTTATATTTTCATTTGCATCTAAATTTTACACACACACACACATATATATATATATATATATATATATATATATATATATATATATATATCAAATATATATATAAATATAACTAAAATAAACCTCTCTTCAGTAAGATGATTATTACGTCACGGTGTTGTAAATTATCTAAATTTTTAAGATATATACACACACACACACACACACGTTTAGATAATTTACAACATTGAGACGTAATAATCATCTTACTGAAGAGAGGTTTTGAGGAGCGTGTAACCACGTCTTAATTGCTGCTGTTGCCAGGTCCACCCTGACCCGGACTGGTAGTACCTGTTAGGATCCTATATATGAGCAAACAGTGAACACCCAAACAAAAATCCGCAGTAAATTTCTATAATAAAATGGCCAACAATACTTTTTATGGCAAAAGGATAATCAATACAACACTAAAAAAATATTAAAATGCATTTTTATAGAAATACCAATAATACATTTTATGATCTACGATATATATATATATCTAAAAAACATACATTTACTCTTAATGTATAAAATTATGTACAAAATATCTGTAGTTGAAAGCATAAATATTTCAGCATTATATAACCCATAGCTATTGATATACCGCCAAACAAAATCAAACGACCAACATGAAATAATTCTTTCATGACATTAATCCATATAATATCCTACAGTTTCTTAAAAAAATTAAACTATATTCCAAAATCTAACTTCAACAAAACTATAACATACGACACACATATCACCGCCTCTAGTAATCCTATCCACAAAAACATGTATATGCACAAAAGCAGAGTATCATCTACCATGTATTCAATTGTGAAAGCAGAATAACATATATTTTATTACTTCAAAGACAAAAGGAAAATGAAATCACTCATAAGTATTTGATATGCAGTTAAACAAACAAATCAATCAATCAATCATATGCATGATTGGGGTAGTAGATGGGTGTTTGATTGTATTCGATTGATAGATTTTAGTAGGCTTGGTTGGGTGTTAAGTTTAACGTGGTGCCACGGGAACGAGTGAGATGTTGTATTCTCTTCTATATAATGACTACTAACTTATTAGTTTGAACAGATAAATAAATAAATAATTGAAGCTAAGTTAAAAGATCCTGCTTCTTTATTTTGAGCAAGTCCATCATTCCAGCCACTTCATCATTTCATCAGAATGGAAGAGCACTTACGCGATGATTCGTGACGTGTCCAGACATACAAGCTCTCACTGAACACGTGTGAAGTGCTTCAAGCTCTGATAATGAGAGAGAGAGAGAGAGAGCGAGAGAGAGAGAGAGAGTGCTGAATTACAGTGGCTGAGAAAACTTCTTGGGTCGTTAAAGTCACGTTCTTTTGAATGTGGTGATGGAGTTACCAGCGGAACTTGAGGGCCTGAGCCGTACACGCTCACATTTGCCCGTCACAAACATGACGACTGGTAGCTTGACAAAGCTAATTATACCACGTTGTAAATATTAGCTTTCGCGCCAAACAACGCTTTTTCTTTTCTTTTTATTTTACACACAAATTGTTTGGTGATCCATCCCTAAAGATTCAAACGAATTTTACTTTCGTCAAATGATAGTTATCCTATAAATTCAGCATGTGCTACAAGATAGATAGATAGATAGATAGATAGATAGATAGATAGATAGATAGATAGATAGATAGAAGGCTACAGAGAGAGAAAGACGGAAGGAGATAGAGAGAAAGGCTAGAGAAAGATAATACCGTGATAGAGAGAAAGAGGGAGAGGAAGAGATAGAAAGGTATAGATAGAAAGAAGGAGATAGAAAAAAAGGAGATAATGACATAGGAGATAGATAGAAAGGAAAAGACAGATAGAAAGGAGATACAGAGATAGAATAGATAGAAAAAGGGAAAATAAAGAGATAGAAAGAGATAGTTTAGAGATAGAAAGATCTAAGGATATAAGGATAAACAGATAGAGAGAGAAAGGAGGAGATAGAGAGAGAAAGGAAGAGATAGAGGATATAAGGATAAACAGATAGAGAAAGAAAGGGGAGAGAGAGAGAAGGGGAATTGAGCAATATAAGGAGATACATAGAAAGATGTAGGAGATAGAGGGAAATGAGGAGATAGAGAGATACAACGATATAGAGAGATAGAGGGGAATAGATAGAAAGAAGGATTTAGAGAAAAAGAAGGGACAAAGGTATAGAAACAAAGACGAAAAAAACAAAGAAAGAAAATGAAACAATGAAGAAACACCTCTGACCCAACTCCGAACAGCTCTGGCGGCCTGCCAATCCAGAATCACCTCCATCTTGGTCTTACGTTAGTATACGTCGTGAGCGTGTATTCATCACCGATTTGCTTGGCCTGTCACTCAGCTTACAACACCTGGTATTCCCTAGCGCTCAGCCTGCTGAGTACTGACTCGTCTCAACATTGCTTCGGCGATCGTACAAGAACTAGTGTTTTAACGTGATAGGGCCGTAAGCCAAAAAAAAAAAAAAAATGAACAAACCTCTTTTCAAAATTCTTTTTGTTGGTTTGTTCATTTTTTTAACAAAGAAAGAAAGAAAGCAATGAATATAACGAAAAAAAAAAGAAAAGAAATGCAGATCTCATCATTAGCATGTCGCAACAATTGATGCAGATAATGAGAGAGTTATCACTTGCGATAATCACTCTCCCTTATTTATGAAAGCTGCAAAATACCTGTTACCCTCACTGTCAGCCTTGACTAGAGTCCAATGAGAATTACTAACTAGAAATCCAAAATAAGTATATTTTTAACACGTGGATTCCATTCACTTCATGTCTCCAGACGCCACCAGAAAACTTTAATAAAAACAAGAACAACACAATTTCAAACAACAACTTGATAAAATAAATGAATCTATTCGGTTCAAAATTTGTGTAACGAGAAAAAAAAAAAAAAAAAAAGGTGCGATGTTAGCGACACGCGTATAGACGGTGCTTGCTCGTCAGCCCCGAAAGAAAGAAGATAATTCAGGATGTCTGACCTTGCCATATTCGTCATGTCAAAAGTAGTGTTGCCGGCAAAACTCCATTTGAATAGGTTAACGAAAGCTATAGCGTTAAAAAAAAAAAGAAAAAACTACTGGGCATAGAGCACCGAGATGCGCATGTGCCAAATATTGAACAGTGGAGTGTCGAAATTTTCAAAACATATTCTCCTTCCTCGCTTGTTAAATCGATGTATCGATTTGTGAAATATAAAAAAAATGTAACTCGCCGATACGTGTTCGTTGGTTTGAAGTGTGTCCCACAGAGGAGTTAATTCCAGGGGTGTGGTTTATTTATTTAGTCGTTTTTCCATTTGCCTTTCTCTCTTTCTTTCTTTCTTTCTTTCTTTCTTTTTTCTTTCTTTCTTTCTTTACCCATTCACAATAATTCTTTTAGTCGTTTTTCTTTTTTGTTTTATATTTTCTTTCTACTTGTTTATTGCTTATTTCTTTTTCATTCGTTTATCTATTCTTTCGTTCTTCCTTCCTTTCTTTTTTCTTTCTTTTTATTTGTTTACTGTTTCTTTCTTTTTAATTTTTTGTCTTTTGTTTTCGTTTATCCATTCTTTTTTATTTTTCTTTTCTTTCATTCTTTCTTTGTTTCTGTATTTATCTACTTTTTCTGTTCTTTCTTTCAACTTGTTTATTGTTTCTTTCCTTTTCCGTTTATCTATCTTTTTTTCTTTCTCTCGTTCCTTCTTTCTTTTTTGTTCTTTCTTTCTATTTGTTTATTCTTTCTTTCTTTTTCATTCATTTAACTTTCTTTTTTCTTTCTTCTCTTCTTTCTTTCTACGTGTTTATTCTGTCTTTCCTTTTCATTCATTTATTCATTCTTTCATTTCTTTATTCGTCCTTTCTTTTTGTGCTTTCTACTTGGTTGCCAATTGTTTTATTGTATCTTCCTATTCGTTTATCCATACGTTTTTCCCTCTTTCTTTATCCATCATCTTTTTTCTTTGTATTTATTGATCTACACTCTATTTTTCTAATTTTATCCGTTTTTTTTTATCCTTTCTCTTCTATTTTATTCTATACCTATCAATCTGATTTCGTTATGTCATTCTTCTTACGTTTACAATTAACTGGCGGAATTGCCATTTTGAACACGACCAGTATGCTCAAACACTCAGTAAAAATAATTTGTGTCTCCGAGCTAGAACGGCTATTGCATTTACCCATTTTCACTCGCAAGGCATGAATCAACTCGTGGTATCGTCTTCAAATATTTTACAAGCATGCTACACCCTGGGGCCGCCTCCACAGGACGATTATCTCAAGAAATACTCTCCCCGACAAATCAACCATGGTGGAATTTGATTTTTATTTATTAACTCTTATTGATCAAAAATGAATTAGAGTAGTTTCAGAAAATTTCTAGGTTTGTCACATGACAACAACATGACGTTTTATGCGTAACAAACTGCTTAATATGTTCAAAATGGCCCCCTTTATGTACAATAAAACCCTGAATCGTATCAGCAACACTTCTACAAAACATTTGACACATTTTCACATTAATTTCGCAAAGTTTTACACAGATTGCTTGTTTTAATTCAGGAATTGTTTTTCGTTTGAGCCTGTAAACAAGATTTTTCAGTAGACCACACAAAAAATTCTGACTGTGATAAGTCTGGTGATCGTAATGACCACTCAAAATTCTCGATGTCGTCGTATCCACCTGAACCCGGAAAAGGGCGATATTTTTGCTGCACCTTATATATATATATATATATATATATATATATATATATATATGTGTGTGTGTGTGTGTGTGTGTGTGTGTGTGTGTGTGTGTGTGTGTATATCAAATATGTGGTGCAGTTCAATTTATATTACAATGAATGGTAGAAACAAAATTTTTAGCCGTTAACAATAAACATTTCTAAAAAAAGCATATTTCGATTCGCATTTAATCTTTCCTCTCCGCTACAACTTGGATTTACTAAAAACAAAATAATTTCCATGCCTGAGGATGACTGTATGTACAGTTGAAAGTACTAGCAGATTAAAAAAGACCTTATACCATTTGTAGTTATTAAAAACAAGGATCATAACATTCATCGAGTGGTTCATGCAACTTTAAAATTTTGTTTGCGAAGAGTTTTCATCATTTTATATCATTAACTTTTCTAATCTACTTTTTGTATGAATGATTCATTGTAATATATATATATATATATATATATATATATATATATATATGCGCTTACATGGGTAGTAGTTTGTAACCCTAGGTTTCACACTTTCACGATCTTCAGACAATCTGCTTTATTTTCTCAAAAGTTGATCTATATATGCCTTATTTTTGTTTGATTATTTGTGTGTTGGAGGAGTAAAATTTTCTTGTGTTTGTTTGGTATGACACTAGATACCGCGCATATATATATATATATATATATATATATATATATATATATATATATATATCATACTTATTATAAAACCTAGGTTGTGTGTGTGTGTGTGTCTGTTCGTTTATATATTGGATCGGATTTCCTACATTTTTCAACCGATTTCAACAAAACTTCACATGACTACGTAAAATTACCTTGCGGTGGTTCTGACCGTGCTAAAAATTGGAAAAACACAATTGGTTTTGCACGAAATCAATTTGCAAACACGATTAAGAGGCATCGCTGTCGCGAGAATGAAAGGAAGACAACTCATATCGAATTATAAAACCCAGGTTGATTGTGTGTCTGTGTGTATGTGTGTGTGTGTTCGTTTATATATGGGATCGGATTTCCTACATTTTTCAACCGATTTCAACAAAACTTCTCCTTTTTTTGGCAGGTAGTGTTTCTTATTGTCTTGCACACTTTTTTTTCTTTTATTTTTACATTCAGAATGTTTTAAAATTCCATTTACAAGACAATTGTTTATAATAAAATTCTATTCAATCGGTAGACTCATAACGATTGTAAAACAATGTTTTGTTTGAGTTTGGGTTTGACCAATTCGTAAAAAAAAAACACTAATTAATATGCGTGTCCATCAACCTTAAACAATAATCTTTGTCAATTTTATTTTTTAGTCTTTATGATGGTCAATACTTGATCTATCTCTTACTGTTACATCCCCGGGCTCTCCTGCTAGTATATATATATATATATATATATATATATATACACACACACACACACACACACACACACACACACACACACACACACACACACACACACACACACACATATATATATATATATATGACATAACAATATTTTTTTTTAAATCAAGAACAGTATTGGGGAAACTGTAAGACAAAATGGGAAAAGTTTACCTGTCACGTATTTCATCCTACAGGACTTCATCGGACAAAATATGTTAGGTTTTAATCCTACCAACATAACAAAATTAGTACAAATTATCAGAGTATATACTTATATTTATTTGACAGGAGTAGATTATTGTCGTTCCGTTCTTTTTGTCTAGCAATAAGTCGCCTTCTTTTTCTTCATACGGGTAAGTTATTACTAGTTCTGTTACCATTGAGTCTGTCTCAACTACCCGGCCCAATCGATGAACCAAAGCTTCAATCTTCCAGGCTGTTATATCCTGAGACAGTACTGACGCTATAACTTGAAGCCTTTAAACTAATGTTCTTATTTACTTCTCTGCTGCAATTGGTGCTACTGCTGGTGCTGCAGAAGCATCTTTGATGCCAAGATTTGATCACTCTGCTCTTGCCGTTTTTTCTTCTTTTTTTTTCTTTTTTCTTTTCTGTTTCTCAACACCGCCCACATTGTATGTATCCCTCTGCGAAACACGAATAGTCTACCCCAGCCAAATAAACAAAGTGTTCAGTTTGAAATTCCGTAAATGGTTACCCTGATCAACTCTGGTATTGTATGTGAATAGGCTTGCCGTCAAATTTGCAGCAGTTGGCTGGACTAGGATCAGTCGCAGTTACTGAATACAGAAGTATGTAACCTCATACCTGCGTGAAAAAAAAAAGCTGGAGACATAAATAAATAATCTCGGGCAGTCTCCCACACATCGCAGACGGTATCCAGGTATTGAACTAGAGGTGTTCGGGGCCGTTGAATACCACAGTCTGGCTGAGAATAACTGGCGAAATACTGGAATGAATAAAATATTACAAAGAGTCAAGTCTCTTGTTATCTTTTAATTTGATGAAGGCCGAAGTGCACAACGGCCGAAATATTCTGATAGTAACCAAATGTACATTGTAAAAAGAGTGAGGGAAGAGAAAGTTTATTTTATATGCAAATCTCCACCTAGTGGCTGATACAGCTGGAAGCTAAACAAATTCTAAACTTCAAGACGTAACTACTAGAGAAATAGTAATGAATACTTTTAAGTAATTATAGTTTACTATAATGGGGATATTAGTCTGACTGTAACTAAAGTAATAATGATAATATATAACCTTGTGCCAAACTTATTTAAGTTTAATAAATGACAACCTCATATTCATTTATGTCGAAGGGGACAAGAACTTGGTTGTGCGTGACTGAAAATATCAATTATTTTATTTTTGTAAAACTGACACTTATGCTCATGCGTGACAGCAAGTATGCTTTTATTATTTACAAGGCCTTTCCAAACGCTTGTAGTAATATGCATTAGTGCACATGCATGAATAGTGTGCAGACGTACAAAAGGTGTGCAGACGCGTGCAGATAGGTGTACTGACATAGTTAATAATATTTTTTTTCAGTTGCACGAAAGAAATACCAACACAAATCACGCACAAAAATAATCTTATGTGTTACACAGAATTTAAATATTACATACAAACACACGTATTGTTCACGGATATATTCCTTTCTTTCCATCTAGCTGTAAAATTCTGTTCATATCAATTGTATTCATTTCTTTTCATATCTATCTATCTTATTTTTATATATAGTTATAAAATTCTATAAAATATAATAAAATTCTATAGATATGAAATAATATAAAATATATTTCCATTCCGTCTAGGTATCTAATTCTTTCCTACCTGTTCCTTTCTAATGATTTATGTTCGTATGTATTTAATCCATGT